TGCAGTGACACCACTTAATCATAACAAGAAAATGCTGTTGTCATCTAGATTAGGAAGTAAGAAACAAGAACATCAAATCAAATAAAATAAGTACTAGTTAATTAATCCGAGAAACAAAAACATTTAATCAAATAATGTCTAACTGAATTATCAAATTCAGGCACTTAACGAAACCAAGCTCTCCACACATGCAGTTGCATTGAACGAAGCGTCAGGAAGGCAAAGACCATGAATTGTACAATCTGTCACGTGTATGATCATTCAATTTAATTATTATAGGAGACTGGGTTACTAATTTAAAATTTTATTAAGGGTGAAATTATATTATATTTTCAGTTTTAAAAAGTTAAAAATAAAATATTATAAAATCAATTCTCATGAATGTTAAAAAAAAAAGATTATAAAATCAAAATTATATATATTTTTTAAACAGGATTACAAATATGGGGGTGAGGGGGTTTGAATCCTAACCTTCAAGTTGAAGGATGCACTTTATAAGTCGATTTATGATTGTTGGACCTCACGGACCCAGGTGTAAAATCAAAATTTTATTAAAAAAAAGAAAGACAAAAATCTTATCTTAAATCGCTACGTAAAGACAAAAAAATCCATAATTATGGTTTTATGAAAAAGGTCATGCGCTTCGGGGCTTATATATATATATATAATTATTATGATAAAAAATCCAGCAATGGTAGTTTAAGAATGTAGAAACAAAATCTTGCCCAAAATATATCTGGCCCAAAAGATGAGGTCCAGAACTAATAGACCCTAAAAAGGAGAAATCCGAAAAATTGTAAGAAAATCGATTCATATTTGACTTTGTACTTCAGACGTTCATGGTTCATCCTCGCGGTGGCATCACCGGAGAATTGGAGACGAGATTGAACGTACAAAGCTTAGCGAGAACCGAGTTTCTCTGGTCAGTATCTTCTTCTTTTATAAATTATTCTTATACATTATCATTGTTTCTTCTCTGATCCCTAATTTGCTTAAGTTTCTTTGTGTTGTTTTTTGGATTTTCAATTGAAACCTAATTGGGATGATGAAATTGAAATATCTGTTGATAGAATTCTTCTTGTTCGTTGCTTAATTTTGGTTTTATCTGGCCTTTTGAAATTCATAGTTATCAGCTTCTTTAAATGTCCGATCTCGTGAATATATATATATTTTGAAATAAAGCTGTAAATTTGGAAAGGAATTGCTTAGTTTATGGCCAATATTCAGCTCATTTTGATATTTTGGTTCTTTTT